TAGTCGGCCATGTTTTTGCCTATAGCTAGAGCCGGCCATGTTTCTGCCTATAGCTAGAGCCGGCCATTTTTCTTCCACCGGCAATAGTCGGCCATGTTTTTGCCTATAGCTAGAGCCGGCCATGTTTCTGCCTATGGCTAGAGCTGGCCCCGTTTCTGCCTATGGCTACAGTTAACCATGTTTCTGCCTGTAGCTACAGTCGGCCATGTTTCTGCCTATGGCTAGAGCTGGCCCCGTTTCTGCCTATGGCTACAGTTAACCATGTTTCTGCCTGTAGCTACAGTCGGCCATGTTTCTGCCTATGGCTACAGTCGGCCATGTTTCTGCCTATGGCTACAGTCCGCCGTGTTTCTGCCTGTGGCTACAGTCAGCTATGTTTCTGCCTATAGCTAGAGCCGGCCATGTTTCTTCCGGTGGCTATAGTCGGCCATGTTTTTGTCTATGGCTAGAGCTGGCCCTGTTTCTGCCTATGGCTATAGTCGGCCACGTTTTTGTCTATGGCTAGAGCCGGCCGTGTTTTTGCCTATGGCTAGAGCCGGCCGTGTTTTTGCCTATGGCTAGAGCCGGCCGTGTTTTTGCCTATGGCTAGAGCTGGCCGTGTTTTTGCTTATAGATAGAGCCGGCCCTGTTTCTGCTTATGACTAGAGCCGGCCGTGTTTCTGCCTATGGTTAAAGCTGGCCGTGTTTCTGCCTATAGAGTCAGCCATGTTTCTGCCTATAGCTAGATGTTTCTGGTGGCCCTGTTTCAACACCATGGTGAATTCTGAGGGACATTTTGATCAAAATGCAAATTTTACCCCAGACATGGTATTTAACAGTTATATAGTAACATAGTTACATTGCTTTTTTCTCAATCAAAACATTTTTCCACTGAGGCTTTTTTCTGTGTACAAACAGGGTGACTATCACTGTCTCTGAACACTTGTCCCGGGGAGAGTTATGAGGAAGCTAAAAGCCTCTCACAGGCTGCACACGGTAGGGCACACACACCGGGGACAGGTCAGGCCCAGTCCATTGCATGGGCAACACACACAATCATACACTCAAGACCATTTAGGCCACTTTTCCATCACACGCAGAACCCTATTTTTGGTACGGTACTCTAGATACTTTCGCTTTTGCATTGACTTCCGGTAGACTATCCAAATCAAAAGTTCCAGTACCAAAAGTGCCAAACCAGCTGGGGTACTTCTTTGGTACCTCGGTACACTGGGGTGGGACACTGCAGAGTGCGATAGCATAATTGAAGAAGCATTCCAATGTACTATTGCAGGAGGTAAACAAAGCTGCATTTCCCACACAGAGGATGTGCATAAGCATGCTGTGTAAAATCTTTTGACTGAGATACACTGACATAAACTGCATGTTGACACAGACACCCTGGCATTTTTCGCTTGCTGCTGGTCGGTCTCACTCAGTCCTAGTCCCATCGCCACGGACACTCACCGGTTTTGGCGGTGGCTTGGGCTCCGAAGGCCTCATGTGCAAGTGAGCCATCATGGCCTGAAGTCTTTCTCGTTCTTTAGAAAGCTGTGACAAGGGGGAGATGGAAACAGAAAGTGTGGGGCCATTTTTAGCAACAAGCAATGCTGCCATTGTGCCATGGTGATCTGTGCTCTTCTGAGGTACGTACCTCTGGGACCAGTCCTGAATATGCCCAGACTGAGTCCCTGAGACTAGCTTGATTCAGAATGGGGGGGGGTGTCGTTTGTACTGCCACGGCGGCTCAGGATAACAAATCACACTTCATCTTTTTTTTTGTCAATAACAGGATTCAGGTCATGGTCTGTGCTGACGGTAACGGGCCTCCAGGCCGCAAATTAGACGGCCGCCGAGTAGCCTGGGGCTGCTAGCTGCAGTGGGGGTGAGGGCTCCTCCAGTCCGTCTCTCCCCTGGAGGTCCGATTAGCGCCCCCCCTGCAGCCCACCATCATCAATATAACTGAGTGACAGGGACTGGGCTTGGGGGCGGAGCAGAGCACGGAGACGACACCGAAGGCTGCGCTGGGTTTCATTAGCCCCCCCCCCAGGCGAGGGAAGGGGTGGCCAGCAGTGGTCATGGGTGAATAAACTAATTCATCAAGGACAGAAGGGTGGGACTTCAGCCCTGGGCAGCCATTAGCAATACTGTGACTATCAAATAAAGACGATCGGGTGACGGCCATCCCATCCTGTCCCAGCCCGATTCCCCGGCCTGCTCTCGGTGTCTGGCTTCCTGCAGGACCCATTCTTTTCAGCAGCTGAGAGATGATGACTAAATACTGGTCAGCAACACACCAAGCTCTTCCTGAAAGACCTGATTTGCTCCTCTGGGGCAAAGTTAGCCATTATAATCCAACAGGAAAGAAGTGTCAAGGTTCAAAGTTGATCCCAGGGGAAATTCGTTAACCCAGCGAGTAACAACGGCACTAATAACAATAAGCAAACAGACCACTATAGACGAGCACTTTGCATAATAACATACCAAAGATGGAAAATCACTAACAAAGAGGTGTATCTCTTAAAATGGAGATATGTTGCTCTGGGTCATAAGAACGGGGAAGGTCCTGCAGTGTGAACTGCGGAGGGTGACAGAGACACACCTGTATCTCCAGCTGCTGCACGACCTGCATCTGGACGCGGCACTGTGCTGTGCTGCGGTCGTCCAGCGCGTGCTCGCTGTTCAGATGCCTGTAAAGGAGGAAGCACTGACGTTAAGGCAGGACCTGCTGAAACCCTCAGAGGAAGACCTCCAAGCAGGGATAGGCTGGTATTAAGGGCATAAGACCACTTCAGAAATAGAAGCAGCTCACTGTGTGTGTGTGTCTGGGTGTGTGAAACTCATCTGTCTGTCATATGGCAGACTGCAGAGGCTGGCTGCAACTGGCACAGACCAGAACCTCAGGTCATGGCAAACATGCCACCACGGTCCCTGGGATCAGTAGATACACAAACTATTTCTGTGTTTTTTTAAATAGCAAATGCCAGCCGACTCAGCTCATGCTGAGCTAAAAACAGCCGGTCAAAGGACAGCGCTTGACGTTCTCGTCCGAGTCAGAGACCCCTGTGCCATTTCTGAGGCTTCTCAGAGCATGCAGGGTCTCATAATGCCCTCTGTTATTATTTCAGGATTCCCAGCAGTCTTAATAAGAATTGTGACACCTGATGGGACAAACCATGTGACACGGTCCAGCCTATCACCTGCCCTCCCTTTTCACTCTGTCGTTTCACTGACCAACTATCACCCAGCCTAATTACACTAATGAATGCGAGAAGGGCCAGGATGCGTGTCACTAAAGATAGGACCCCCCCCCCCCCCCAGCATGGCAATATCCTGTTCCCACTGACATTTCATTTCTTTAGCAGATGCTTTTATTCAAAGTGACATACAACCAAAGCTGGGGGGAATTAAGGGCCTTTGCAGAACATGTCCCAGCTCTGAGCATCCATGGGACAGCACAAGCTGAACGGCAGAGCACTGCGGAACGTTCCTCCACGCTCCTCACACATACAGTAAGATTCCAGAATTTTCCAATGTTTTAAGTAAAGGCAGAGGTCGAACAAAAAATAAATATGTATTTCTTACTAAGCTTTACATAAAATGCACTGACATTGGGATTCAGTTAACATTCTTTCATTATGTACCATCACGTAAATGATTCAATAACTTTACATAATGTAATATTTATAATATTTAATTGTTTAGGAGATACTGTTACTTGATGACAGAATTTTACAATGTAATGACTGCGTAAACGCAACAGCCCTCCTGGGATTCCAACCTGTTAAAGGTGCACTTACTTTCATAATACACCCCCTACTGGCCAAACAGAATATGTGCAGTAAAGTGCGGCACCACTGTAAACATGCACCTCTGATGAAATCATGGAAACCACAAAACAAGCCAATTATCTAAAGTGCTGACAGACCACCAAAGGCTTGCTCATTCCAGTAGCTGTACCAATTCAAGAGAGAAATACATCCATTTAGCCATGTAACATCTCTGTCAACCTGCAGACGTCCTGCAGAGACCCGTTACCAGCCTGTAGAACATCTGGCTGTCCGGGCACAGACACTGAACTCTGTTTGGTACATGGATTAGAACCTGACATGCAGGTGCGGAGGGGCACACACACAAACACACACATACACACACACACACACACGTAGGGTAAACATATCCTTATGGGGACCGCTCATTCATTTCAATGGGAAAAATGCTAACGCTAACTATGACAACCTTAACCCCCACCCTGCCCTAACCATAACCATAAGTAACCTAACAAAATACAAGAGTTTTTGCATTTTTAGTTTTTTCATAGCAGTCACCGATTTTTATAAAATAGAGTTTTCCCTTATGGGGACCGGTTTCTTGGTCCCCATAAGGGAAAAAAACGGATATTTATCACGTTATGGGGACATTAAGACACATTGGCGTACCTATCTGAATGAGGACCTTCCATTCATTTCTATGGGAAAGACCAACAATGACAAGCTTAACCCCTACCCAACCTTAACCTTAACCATACGTAACCAAACAAAATACAAGTCTTTTGGAATTTTTAGTTTTATGATTGCACTCACAGATATAATTGAATTTTCCCTTGTGGGGACCGAAATATATACACAAACACAACCCCCTAACACATACCTATGCAGAGGAACCTACATGAAGAACCCGCTGAGGTCCTCAGTGATGGAGACTCAAGCCCCTAACACATACTGATGCAGAGGAACCTATTTGAGGAACAGGCTGAAGTCCTATGTGATGGAGATGCACGCCCCTAACACATACCTATGCACAGGAACCTATTTGAGGAACAGGCTGAAGTCCTCGGTGATGGAGACGCACGCCCCTAACACATACCTATGCAGAGGAACCTCCATGAGGAACTGGCTGAGGTCCTCAGTGATGGAGATGCACGCCCCTAACACATACCTATGCAGAGGAACCTATTTGAGGAACTGGCTGAGGTCCTCAGTGATGGAGACGCACGCCCCTAACACATACCTATGCAGAGGAACCTATTTGAGGAACTGGCTGAGGTCCTCAGTGATGGAGACGCACGCCCCTAACACATACCTATGCAGAGGAACCTATTTGAGGAACTG